AACATATTTGGATCATCTTTGGTATAAGCACGAGGACTCACAGTCTTCTCTCATGAACATTATAGCAGTATACTTTCTCGAGAAGTTCACTCCCGCGCAGGGCGCGGATCTTGCTTAGTATTATATAATAAATGTAAAATATTCAACTCGGATAAGTGAAAACCATTGTGGGCAAAAAAAATAAAAATAATAATAGCTAGAGCACACAATTAGAATGTTAAAAAAAAAAGGGAAAAATCTTAAAAACGAATATACAAGTGTATATTAAATTATCAATTCAAAAGATTTCGACCCATCACATATATTTTTAGGTGGGCTAGTAATTACAAATTTAACATGGCTGAAATAAGAAAAAGTCCATTATGAATTTCATAATCGTGGCCCATATATACATACACATTTATTCAAACCAACCAGGATATAAAGGACAAGTAACATTGTTCTATAAAATCAGAGAGAACAGAAGTTCGTTAAATAAAGCCAACAATCTTGTTACTTTTGCAGATTCTTAATAGCTCTATGAAACACCAAAACATGTCCCATTTTAGTAGATTATCATATGTAATAAACAAGATTTTGAGCTTCACCCATAAATCTTTTTTTTTTGAACCTACACTATCAAGAATTATACACCCATGAATCTTTAGAAGAAGAAAAACGATGTGGCATAGAAGTATATAGTAAGAAGAACTTGTGAGATAACCAAAAAAGCTTAATAAATTTAAGAATTTAGCCACACAATAAGGATTGGAATTTGAGTCTAAGAGCCGAATGGATCGGAAAATGCAAGAGAATGCCAACAAAAAAAAGAAAAGGAAAATACTATAAAGGGATATTGATTAGTTTGCAAATTGACCCCAACTATAAATCGGTCCTTTTGTTGAATTTTTTTTTTTAAAGTCCTTTATATTGGGCCTAAAAAACTTCCTCTATTTTCTCAGTAAAACCATCAACTTTCTTCTTGATTTCTTGCATCGCAAGTCTTGTAGCCACCTCTTCTTCTTCTTCTCTTTCCACAACAAACTCTACAGTCTCTAGAATCCATAAGATCTTGATTCTCAGTTTATAGTCGGGGTCTTGATCTTATAGCGAGGAGAACCCTTTACATGCACACTTTTTCAAGTAATGTAACAACAATCCACATTTGAAAAACCCTTCACAAAAGCAAAAAAAAAGAATCAGCAGAAGAAGGCAAAGAAGAAATGTGTGATTTGCTCAATCTTGAGGAGTTTCGAATCTAGACTTCTGCGTATCGATACCAGCCATACAACAAAGTCCACTTATCAAGATGATAAGCAGAACAATTCCTTGAAAAGAAGAAGAAAGAGATCTTATAAAATGGAAACACAAAGCTTCAAGCTAAGAGACATTAAGCATTAATGAAATCTGTATTAGAAGAAAACGGGTCAAATATTTTGATACCCGTACGGGGGAGATGGAAACGACACCGTTTTGTTGATTAAATTAGTAATTATTACCTGCAAAACCGAATCTGGTTTAGCGAGGAGAACCGTTTAGCTAATTAATAACCCAAAGATCTAATCTGGTTTAGCAAGGAGAACCGGTTTGTATTCATATCATTGGGCCTTTACATATTACAACCCGGCCCAATTTAAATAGACGAACCCTGAACTATAATCGACTCACCGGACCATTTATCGCCGGTAAAGAAGTCGGTCATTCTCGAGTCTCTTACGAGCACTGATTCGTCGTCTCTCTCTCTAATTCCCGCCCAAAAACCTTTCGGATTCGGCCATTAAAGCAGCCGCAAAAGCTTGAAGGAGATTTTCAAAAAGATGAGCAAAGTTGAGATTGAAGAAGAAGTGGAAGGAGATCGTATCCCAACTACCGATTACTACTTCGAGAGAATCGGCAAACCTATCTTAATCAAACAGGAAGACTCTCAATACGATCTCGAAAATCCTCCGTCACAGCCACTCGCTATCTCCGAGCGTCACGGTGTTGTTTTTGTCGCACATTCCTCCGGTTAGTTTTCGTAATCGGCGATTATGGTTACTCGTTTTTGCTTGTTATGTTATGTATGTGACCCCTTTTTGTGTTGGAAATTAGGGTTTCTTGTTGGGAAGACGAAAGATGTAAT